GAGGCAGTGGGGAAGGAGGGGAAGGAAGGTTACAAGTGACTATAACTTACTGAGTTGTTGTCTATTGTGCCCGAAATAGGTTGTGTTTCTTCGAATTACAAAACATTCCTTTATTTATTTATTTATTATTTTTTTTTTTTGAGGTGGAGTCTCTCTTGACACCCAGGCTGGAGTGCTGGAGTGCAGTTGCGCGACTGCGTCACTGCAAGCTCTGCCTCCCGGTTCACGCCATTCTCGGTTCATTCTCCCGAGTAGCTGGACTACAGGGCGCCCGCCACCACGCCCGGCTAATTTTTGTGGTTTTTAGTAGAGGACGGGGTTTCACCGTGTTAGCCAGAATGGTCTCGATCTCCGTGACCTCGGGATCGCGCCGTTCTCGGGGCTCCCAAAGTGCTGGGATTACAGGCGTGAGCCGCCGCACGCTGGCCAAAACATTTTCTTTGTGAATTCCTAGTGATTTAGAACTGCACTGCCCAGTACAGTAGCTACTTGCCACATGTGGCTATTGAGCCCTTGAGATATGGCTAGTCTATATGAAGATGTGCTGTAAGTGCAAAATGCATATCAGAATTCAAAGACTTAGAATGAAAAAAAGGACTGTAAAATATTTCATTAATAACATATTAATCACATGTTAAAATTATATTTTGAATATATTGGATTAAATAAAATATATTAAATGTAAAAAAGTAGTAGCCCTCATTTCTGGCATTATTTGCACTCATAGTTAACTGAGCAAAAGTGTTCAATAAGCTGGAGAGCCCTACTAGTCCACAAGCCCTAGGTGAACAGGGACCCTGGGAAGGAAGAATGTGGGTTAACTGGATGAGTGAATTAAGTAAATGTTGGTTAACATCAACTCTAAAGAAACAAGATAACATACTGTGTTATAAAGAAGTGCAGTTGATAAGGTACAAAGTAACACATTAGACAGATGACTATCTCCTGACAAGTGATTTGGTGAATATGGATACTTTGGTGGGGGCAGGAAAGAAAGTATGAACTTTGAAGTGGAGATTCAGAGATGGGTAATTGTGAATATTTATGGAGAACTGCGAGTGTGTAGCTTGGCTTGAGTAAAGGATTCATGCAATGGGGTAGAGTTAGCACTTACAGGCCAGGTGCGGTGGCTCATGCCTATAATCCCAGCACTTTGGGAGGCTGAGGTGGGTGGATCACTGGAGCTCAGGAGTTCAAGACCAGCCTGGGCAACATGGTGAAACTCTGCCTCTACCAAATATACAAAAATCAGCCAGGCATGATAACTCAGGCCTGTAGTTCCAGCTACCCAGGAGGCTGAGGTAGGAGGATCACTTGAGTCCAGGAGGCAGAGGTTGCAGTGAATTGAGATCTCGGCACTGCACTTCAACCTGGGCAACAGAGCGAGATCCCATATCAAAAAAACAAAAAAAACCAAGGAAATAAAAAGAGTTTGGTCATACACATATAAAATTAGTATATGTAGCTCAAGGGAATAATTATTTCATGTAAAATTTTCATATAAATTTACTTTACCAGGAGAAATGGGCCTAACACATGCTGGAGAATAATGAAAAGTTCTGAGTGCAAGCTTTGTAGACTCTCACAAGCAAGCATATAAATGGAAGAATATAGAAAATGATGCATTGGCCGGGCATGGTGGCTTACACCTGTAATCCCAACACTTTAGGAGGCCAAGGCTGGTGGATCATGAGGTCAGGAGTTCGAGACCAGCCTGGCCAATATAGTGAAACCCTGTCCCCACTAAAAATACAAAAATTAGCTGGGGGTGGTGGTGCATGCCTGTAATCCCAGCTGCTTGGGAGGCTGAAGCAGGAGAATCACTTGAACCAGGGAGGCGGAGGTTGCAGTGAGCCAAGATCACGCCACTGCACTCCAGCCTGGGCGACAAAGTGAGACTCCATATCAAAAAAAAAAAAAAAAGAGAAAAAGAAAATGATTCATTACATTTTGTTCTGGCTGAGCACTTTTATGTTCCTGTTATAACCTAGGTTTAATTTTTAAAACTTGTTATTAAGGCATAATGTAGATAAAGTACACATACCATTAATAGTAGAGCTTGATTTTTACAAACTGTGAACACATCCATGAAATCAGTACCTGGTGCAAGAAGTGGAGTATTGCAGCACTGAGAACCACCCCGTGCTCCTTCCAACCTACCACCAGGACCATCAGTATCCGACTTAACAACATGCATTAGCTCTGCCTGTTTTTGTACTTTTATATAAAGGGAATCACACCATGTAATCTTTTGTGCCCTATGCTTAAAGAATCAAACTAAACTTTGGATGACTGAACCCCAACTCAGCATTTCATTGTGAGTTTGGACAAGTCTCTTAACCCTGTTTCCACATCCGGAGAAGTGGATTATAACAGTGTTTGCCTCATAGGGTATTGTGAGGATTAAGTGAGATAATGTATGTAAAAGTTTTAGCACAGTGAGTGGAGTGTGGCTGCAGCTGCCACACTGTACTCAAACTTATAGTCTGCAAACTTCTGAATATGAGAGAGGGAAAAAATCCATGTCATCTGGGCAGAGTCCAACTATTCCTTTATTCACAAATGAGCATCTACACATACAATAGGGAACTTGGCTATTTGATCCATCTCACTTTTGGCCAAAGGAGAAAAGATATTTCTGTTATACACTTATTCATCTCCCCTTCTAGAATAGCAGCTTCCTTAAGGGAAAGGTCATGCACTGTTTACCATAGTATATGCAGTGCCTAGCACAGGGCATCGTAAGCACTTAGCTAAACTGAATAAACACGTAAGTACTAACAATATTAGGGCTTAGGACATTATGTTCAAATCTGCTCAAAACTTCTGAGCTTTGTTTGGCAAAATTACAGTAGTTAAATCAGAGTAAAGTGAATCTCCTGCTTTCTTTCCCTGTGCTGGCCAGGAAAATCCAATCAAACCTAGCACATTCTGTACTTGGAACTTGAGTTAAGCATACCAGGTCTGGAAACTTCAGAAATAAGGGCAGTACACACTACTACTTTTAATAGTATTTGCTCCAAACTCAACAGCTTTTGATGTACTTAGACCAACACGCCAACATGTTTTCAAAAACACTCTCTTCCTAGCACATCAGTCACAAGTATTTTCCAAGTGTACTTTATCTTGATTTTCTACTGATATATTTCACGTATTATTGACCATATCCATACTCATTAAAAAAACAAAAAAAGGCCGGGGTAAAGTGCAATGTTCCAACAGATTTCTACTTGGTTCAATTTATCATCTACTACTTAATTAAAAATAAATTTTCACTTCTCACCAAGTAGGAAGCACCTCTTCAAATACTATCATCAGTTTTACATTACGAATTAAAGGTCTGATTGGCTGGCAAGCCTACCGCTATAGAGATAATTCTTGTATGTATTTATACGGCTATAAAATGAATTGAAAGATTTTAAGAGCCTAATACAATTTATTGGCTGTGAAGCAAAACTAGCTTCATGCAGATAACTAATAAATCAAAGCTATTTATAATTCATAGTATAAAAAAGTATGGTTAATATTCTGAGTCGTAACTAATTTTTTAAATTACTTAAATTTAACAATTGGCGAGATTTTTCTAAGCACCATGATAGACACAGAAATGAAGGAGTTATAAACAGCAATCCCTACTCTTCAGAAATGTATAGTCTGGTGGGAAAGTTTTATGGAAGCATTAGGATAATCAGGAAATGACTCACAGACCCGTGCCTTGAAGGCTAAGATTTTAACAGGCTAGGGAGACAAAGAAAAGAAGTCATACAAAGGGGGCCCAGCGCGGTGGCTCACGCCTGTAATCCCAGCACTTTGGGAGGCTGAGGCGGACGGATCACTTGAGGTCAGGAGCTGGAGACCAGCCTGGCCAACATGGTGAAACCCCATCTCTACTAAAAACACAAAAATTAGCTGGGCATGGCGGTGCACACCTGTAATCCCAGCTACTGGTAGAATTGCTTGAACCTGGGAGGTGGAGGTTGCAGTGAGCCGAGACGGTGCCACTGCACTCCAGCCTGGGTGACAGAGCGAGACTCCCTCTCAAAAAAAAAGAAAAAAAAAGAAGTCATACAAAGAGGATATTACAAACACGGGCCTGGAGATGGGAGTGTGCACATGTGTTCCCAGGAGATCCAAGCCGCCAGTATGACTGAAAAATGAAGTTGGTCATGTCCAGGTTAGGGAGTGAAGGAGGAGAATTATTATTATTCAGGCAACAGAGAACTATGGAACGTCTGTTTTTTATATTTGTTTCTTTCTGTTTACATATAAGGAGAGAATGTGCCTAGTCCTCTCAGCAGTTTTATTTCATGCTATAAATTAATAGATTGGCATTATAATTTCATACATCAGTCATAAACTTGATGTAAGCCTTCTACTGAGAGGTAAACTCATTTTTAATGAGTTAATTCCCTCAGACTTCTGAGCCTACAAGGCTAAAGATAGAATCTAGATGGTGATGAATTTACTGAGGTAATATAATACCAAAGAGCCCTGCCTGGATGACCAGTGTGCCTTTCCCAGATGACACCCTTATGCCACTGTTCAATTTCTTGACATTTCTATAGAATGGAGACAGAGGCCATATGCAGGCTGAGAATTCACAGCTGACTTCAATGTGGGGGTGGATTACTCACTGGGTAAATGAAGGGAAGGCAATACCACTAAGTGACAGAACAAAGGAAGGGCAGGTCAAAGTTGGGAAAAAGGAAATCTGCTTTGAATATGTGTTTAAGGTGCCAACAGGAAGTGTCATGTGAAAGTATCTGAAAGGCAGCTGAAAATTTGGTTTTAAATGAGGCTCAATAAAGGGGCAATGTTGTATTTACTGGTAAAATCACCATTAAGAGAGTTCTAAGTGAGAAAAAAGGCCTAAGAACAGAATGTTAAGTCTCTAAGGATTCTATCAGTCCTTATAAAGCACAAAACCAAGTGAAATGAGCAATGCCAAGTCAGCTTGTACACAGATGCTTTATTTTGGATGTTAATATGTCGACAGTGTATGCAAGATTCTCTTACAATGGAGTTTTCCATGTATCACAAAACTCAATTTAGTCAGGGTAATTGCTGTATTAATGTGAAAACCTTACAATAAAATGCAGTATTATATATGTGTAGTCAGTTTCCATGCAAGTATGGCTGCTACATGTATGTCTGGCATTTGTATAACATGCTGAAAGAAACTCAGAGGAACAAAACATTATAAAGGTGACTTAAGATGCCTGACATGTTTAAGATTAAAAATCTTGCAAAAAGCAACAAAGCAGTTAACTGAAGGATTCAACCAATACCAACCCAAATATGTGTTATGTCCAATAAGCCCAGACTTATCCACAATATATTACCATTTAGGATAATTTAATGCTCAAGAAAAAATATGCTTTAAAAATATAGCTCTTATAAGATATTATACTTTGGTGATTGCAGACTATGTATATCCAGGTAAGGGCTACATTAAAAACAACAACAAAAAACTATTATGTGCTATTAGTTCAAGGTAACTGAAATGATCCAGTATGAGTTTGCTACAATCATTGGTTTCACTAAGTGAAATTTCTGTGAGAAGTTCATTAATTAGAAAGCAATCAACATACTTAAACATGCTAAGAAGATTCAAATTGGTTTATGTATTTATCAACAAGGCATAATCTTAGTACCATACATTTTCTTCACTTCTCACTATATATATATATGTGTGTGTGTGTGTGTATATATATATAAAAAATATGCAAAAACTAGCAAGTAGATTTAAATAGCTTAAAACCCTTTTAGGTCTACTGTTCAAGAGCTAAGCATTAAAATACTTAGTATTTCCATTTCTATTAACATACGAACAGAGCAGAAAATCTTAACCTGCTTTCATTTTGTTTTTTAAGGCATAGTAGTATTTTGGTATTTGTAAGAATTTGCCTGGTAATGGTTGATTCCATTTAGTTAACTTGAGAACTTGCCATCATTTGTTTTTTATCTTTTCACACAGTGCAAGTGGTGGTCGCTCTTTCCTTCTCTCGTAGCAGCAAGCCGATTCTGCTATTTTCTATAGCAGCATACTTCAGGAGTGGAGAGGGAGAGAGTGTGTCAATTATAAATAATTCAAACTACAGTGTACAATTCTATTTACCTGTCAGTGTTTAAGTTGACAGCACACCATTATATGACTGAAAAAAATTACATATAATCTCTACCACAAAAGCAAATAAAAAATCTTTCAAGAAGAAATAAAATAAGTGCAAACACCTAAAACAGGCAACTGAAGCAACTGTTGTAACCTGTAGAGAAACACAAAACATTTAAAAAAGGACAAAATATTTTTATAAATAAAAGATAATGTTCTCCACTTCTGAAACACTGAGTAAATACAAACTTCTAAGTGCAGACTGTTTTTAGGGACCAAGGTACCATATTATTTTTTAAACAAAATGCAAAAATTTCAAAAACATATACAAATCACCAGATTAATGTATATGACCATCCCCGATATAATTTAAAAAGAAAGTATTAAATTATTATTTAGTACATTTTTAGAACTACTTTATAACCAACATGATTTAAAGGGCATAGTGCAACATTTAGGTAGATGTGACATATAGTAGAGATATTGTATTCTTTGCAGCTATAACTTACTATTGTTTCATACTTAAAGTCAAAATTTTTCTTTACTGTGTTAGCTGTAATAACAGGAAACAACATTGGCTTCTAGGCACCCTGTATACGTATAAATATCTACATTTAAGCTTTAAAAATAAAAATAAATTATAAAAAACCGACTTCTTTCCAATTTACAAAGTCCTCCTGCTCCTACATACTGTACAATACATTCAACAAAATTCTCAGCTCTTCTGAGATTAAGAAAATACTATTTACTAATAAAGAAAAAACTCTTTTTTGAATGCTTTTTGTTTTCAGTACTATGCTCAAATAAATACATTTAACACTGTAGTTAATTTTACCGCTTCTGAAAAAAAAAAAAAATTAGTAGTGCAACTTTCTAGCCTTCCTTTAAATTCCTTTTCAATGTGTTTCTTTGTAAATGGTAGCCTAAGTAAATCAGCACGTGGGCAAAAGTACTTCATAAAATCGTGTGCTTTCCATACATAGACTAATTTCAGAAATCATATCTACTCTTACACCTATCTATAACAAAACTGCAGCATCAAGAGAGTAGCAACATATATCTTGTGAAGAAAATATGAGAATTTACTTTTAGAAATCCATGAACATTCTATTATTTTCCCATCTTGTTCTTTAAAAACAATTTTTAAAAATCTCATCTCTTAAAAAATAAACTATGAAACTGTCTACCCCTTAAGTGACTTACTAGCTTTCTGCCTACTATGTAGAATAGAAAAAAGATGCTGTATTAAAAGGGCTATCTTACAACTTTAAAAACAACTAATTGAGAAAAATTTCACTGCAACCTAATTTAGTAGAGATTGCAGTAAGGGAGGGGGGCATTTCATCAATTTTAATAATAATTACAGTATGAGAGCTCTTGAAGTACTACTGGTAGCTGTGTAAGTACTCAGATATCTTCTTGCTTGTTCAGTCATAATAAGTTGGTCTTCTGTCTTCCCATAAACCACTGTTTCCCATTCACAATTTGACTAGAAAGGAAATATTAATAGTGATGTGAAAAGTATTAAAATAACTATCCATATTATATCACAATTAGACTCTTAAAGTCAGTTATTTAAACTGATTAGATATTTCATAAGCAATAATTATAAAAATGTTTTAACAATGGCATTGTATTTTTTAATAATGTTTTTAAATATATACTGAAATATTTTTGATCAAGTTTTTAAAAAGTCAATTATTTTAGCTATCTATATTGCTTACAGGCCTATGGAGGCAGTTTAGAAGTCTTGTCCCCAACAATTCCCCCCAAATCAAATGAGTCTTAACATGGAAATAAATGTTAGTCATTACTGCTTCAAAATTTTGCAAAGGGTTTAAAGAGAGGATGTAATGTCAAAAAATGAGCCAAGAATGCTTTATTTACAAATTAGGAAATATATTCATAGCAAAAAATCAAGTTTATGGTTTTTTCTTCCCTTATTATAAAGATTACTATGTTATAGACGTGATCTTCTATATAATAACTTTCCCCAAAAGTTCTATGTTAATTAAACGCTGGGAACTCAAATCATTTTACATGGATTAAGAGAATGTGCTACATGGCTCTTAGAAAGCAGCGGCTGAAAACAGATGTAAGGTGGTCATATGTGATTGCCAAAGATGTTTTCAAGGTATGCTTTAACATCAGAAATACTAATGCTGCAGTCACTGTGGCATAAAGAAGAAAATTTCCTACTCAATGAACTCTCAAATTCTCTGGGGTAAACTCTTAACGCAGTAAAAATTTTCCCAACCACAGTTACACACTGGCCACATCCCAACAGAAAAAAAAGGACCTTGTTTTACAACTTCTGAGCCAAAATGTTCACTGGAAACCACGGTACCAACAAAATCATGCTGAAACTGCTTCTAACCACTTACCCTTTTTCAGAATAGCAATTAGGGCTATACATATTTGTTACAGGAGAAGAGGTGCCAGAAGTAGATTTATACATCTTTAGTTTAAAAAAGATACAGTGCTGACGAAATCACCAGATGACTCTTTGGTTACAGCTCCAATTGTTTAGTTTATATGTGCCCTGATGAATGAGTCTCTCAAACCCAAATGTGAATGACAAAATAATGGTAAATGTTTACTGTTACAATCAATTTTGAATTTAAAAGAAAAAGTATAATTTGTGATCAGTAAATCCAAAGTGATCATTGATTAAACAAAAACAAAAATCACTAAAGAAATTTATAAATCCATACCTGAAGATTCTTTTCCAATTTGACAACTTTGGAAGTGTTAGGGTTTGGTTTCTTTTTAGTAAGTGTGTATGTTTTGTTGGTTGAATTTGTATCTTGTTTTTCAGGAATCAAGTTGCACCTATTGTCATGTATTTCCAATAATGGTATCATTAATAAGGATGTAGTAAATATATTTTCTGACTAAGAGAGAAAAAAGAAAGAGGAAAATAACTAATTCAAAAATGGAGACAAATGGAAGTACTACTGAGTAAGTGGTAATGGAAGCCCTGTTTATTTCTCTCCAAGAAAGAATTTGGCTCTGCTGAAATTTCTAGCAATGTAGTAATATTAAGTATTTTGGAAATGAACCAAAGATAAACTCTGATATTTAAAATCTTGAGAACTACAATTTTTTGACATCATATATAAGGCAGCTGACTCCTCTCATAACAAAAGAAATTTTAAAAAAGTAAATAAAATATTCTCTACAGTGAATAGTTTCTCTGCGAATTAGGCAAAATGATACTAAAATAAAAATCCTCCATGAATCTCTAATGAACTGGCTACACAATGAGTAAGAAATAAGAACCACTAGGAGTTAAAGCAACCATTTAAAATAACAATAATAATAATCCTTTACAAACCTGCATGTCTGAAATGTCTTCAGTCAACAGTTGAGTGCCTGATTCTTCTTTTTCCCAATTATCTAAGACTAGTGATTTTCTGACTTTCTTCCCAGAAGCGGTATTCTAAAATGAGTAATTTGTTGTAGAAGCTTTATGGCAAAGTCTCTTGGATACAATAAGACTTTTATTAACAATAATACTAGAAGATTACCTCTTGTTTGCAGCTTTTGTAGGCAGGTTCATCTTCCTCTTTGAGGAATAGGTCTGTTCCAGTTTCTTCTTTTAAAACTTCCCGAATATCTTCTTCCAAGAAGGCAAGTGGCTGGGACTAAATTGTTTTTTAAAATGTTGTAAAAAGTCATTTATAGCAATTCCTTTTTCTCCCTATATATAGGAAACCCATCTTTTATACTTTCCCATTATTGTCATAATTTTCTCCTAGGCCCTATAGATATATTAATTAAATTAATCCATTTTATAGCAAAACAATATTACACATTTGCAAGTACTGAGTAAAGAATGGCAATTTCTTCTTTCTAGGCTACTAAACAAAAATATTCCTTTTGGGGAAACCACTGTAGCTCCTGCTTCAGGTCAGGATCTTCAGAATTAAACAGAAAAGAAAGATGTTATTTCTCAAGTATTTTTTTTACATAAAAATAAGAAATACAGAACATATTGGAAATACACTAGCTCTTATTCTACTTTTATTGTATTTATTACACGGTATGTAATTACTAGTTAACATGTTTCTGTTACCACTAAGATTGTGAGATACTTGACAGCAGTGATCAGGTCGTTTTATACCTAGCCTAAGCATCCTTGTATACCTAGATATGAGATCCTTGTATATATAAGATATAAGATCCTTGTATACCTAGCCTAAGCAAAGAGCTGACACAGTATCCAAGAAAAGGGAGAGAGTGAGTGTGTGTGTGCACGTGTGTGTAGTGTGGGAGGGTAGGTTATGAAGAGACAGACAATTGAGTATGAGCTAAGTGATGCAATAGTCTCAAAATATTATTCATCTAGCTTTCTGTCAAATAGGTAAGCACAACTTATAACCCAGAAAAAAATTTTAAAATTCTATCTAACTTATACCTATCATAACCAAGATATACTTGAAAAGGTAATCAAACCTCTACTAAATAAAAGAACTGGCAGCACTTAATAACCAGCAGCTGCCCGGTATGGTGGCTCACGCCTGTAATCCCAACACTTTGGGAGGCAGAGGTGGGCGGATCACGAGGTCAAGAGATCGAAACCCCATCCCTACTAAAAACACAAAAATTAGCCAGGGGTGGTGATGCGCACCCCAGGAGGCTGAGGCAGGAGAATTGCTTGAACCCAGGAGGCAGAGGTTGCAGAGAGCAGAGATCACACCACTGGATTCCAGCCTGGGTGACAGAGCCAGACTCCATCTCAAAAAAACAAACAAACAAACAAAAACAAACAAAAATCAAAAAAACACCAGCAGCTTATGTCCCCAGCCAGCAAAGTTAGAGAGAATAGTATTCATATATAAATGAGATTTCACAGAACTTACAAAAACTTTTAAAATGAAAATAAAATGTTAAAAGTGTTCTCATCTAGACTGAGACATACAGGAATTACGTTAATGTTTCTGTATACTTCTCAAAGAGCTTATTATTATTATTATTATTATTTACTTATTTATTGAGATGGAATCTTGCTCTGTCACCCAGGCTGGAGTGCAATAGCACAATCTCAGTTCACTGCAACCTCCACACCCCCCGACCCCCCGGTTCAACCAATTCTCCTGCCTCAGCCTCCCGCGTAGCTGGGATTGTAGGCATCTGCCACGATGCCTGGCTAATTTTTTGTATTTTTACTAGAGACGGGGTTTCACCATGTTGGCCAGGCTGGTCTCGAACTCCTGACCTCAGGAGGTAATCTGCCCACCTCAACCTCCCAAAGTGCTGGGATTACAGGTGTGAGCCACCACACCCGGCCTCAAAGAGCTTTTTAATGATGATACGTCACCAAGAACATAAAGTATTCTTTTTTCAAATTAACTTTTAAGTTCAGGGGTCCAAGTACAAGTTTGTTACACAGGTAAACATGGGGGGTTGTTGTGTAGGTTATTTCATCACCTAGCCAGGCGCAGTGGCTCACGCCTGTAATCCCAGCACTTTGGGAGGCCAAACCAGGCAGATCACGAGGTTAGGAGTTCAAGACCAGCCTGGCTAACATGGTGAAACCCTGTCTCTACTAGAAATACAAAAATTAGCCAGGGTGGTGGAGGGCACCTGTAATCCCAGCTACTTCGGAAGCTAAGGCAGGAGAATCGCTTGAAACTGGAAGGCAGAGGTTGCAGTGAGCCGAGATCACACCACCGCACTCTAGCCTGGGCAACGAGAGTGAAACTCTGTCTCAAAACAAAACAAAACAAAACAAAAACAAAAACAAAGATTATTTCATCACCCAAGTATTAAGCCTAGTACCCATTAGTTATTTTTCCTGATCTTCTATCTTCCCACCTTCCACTCTCTGAAAGGCCCCAGTGTGTGTTGTTCCTCTCTAAATGTCCACGTTCCCATCATTTAGCTCCCATTTATAAATGAGAACATGCAGTATTTGGTTTTCTATTCCTGTGTTGGTTTGCTGAGGATAATGGCTTCCAGCTCTATCCATGTGCTTGCAAAGGACATGACCTCATTCTTTTTTATGGCTGCATAGTAGTCCATGGCGTATTTGTACCACATTTTCTTTCTTTTTTTTTTTTCCCTCAATTTTTTTTGAGATGGGGTCTCACTCTGTCACCGAGGCTAGAGTGCAGTGGCATAATATCAGCTCACTGCGTTCTACCTCCCAGGGTCAAGTGATCCTCCCACCTCAGTCTCCCAAGTAGCTAGGGCCACAGGTGCACACCACCATGCCCAGCTAATTTTTTGTATTTTTGGTAGAGATGGGGTTTCACCATGTTGTCCAGGCTGGTCTTGAACTCCTGAGCTCAAATGATCTGCCTGTCTTGATCCCCCAAAATGCTGGGATTACAGGCATGAGCCACTGCATCCAGCCCACATTTTCTTGATCTAGTATAGTATTCTTAAAAAGATCTGGAGTTTTTTCTCCCTTTAAGAATATAAATGTCCTAGAATAGGGCTAAGACAGATTAATTCATTCACTAGGAAGAATCATTCTCTTAATTGCTCTAATGTGTCAAAAGCAAAGAACTCCTCCATTTAATACTTTTCAGGTTTGATACTACCAAACTTAATACTTCTACAGAGTTTTTAGCCTTTTGAGTAATTCATAGTAAATATTAAAACAATCAAAGTTTATTAAAAAGGCAACAGATATTTAAGATATACCTGATTAAAATTCCAAAGCCAATCTCCAAGAAGTGCATTTGACTCATAGTAAGATACAAAAGAAAACTAAGTGGTTAGCATATAGTAGATGCTCAGTAAATAACTGGAGGAGGAGGAGGAGGAGGAGGAGGAGGAGAAATGAGAAGTCAACTTACTGCAAAGAAATATATGAGCCTATAAATATTCTAGGAATTTTAATTTCTAAATCATTGCCTTCCTTTTATCTTAAATTGCTGATGCAAGTAATCTGTTTTGGCAATGGTCAAATTCTATCCAAAGAGCTGTGAGTGCTGCTGGTATTAAATTTAAAATGTCAGAAGGCTAGTAAACAAACTGACAAGGAATTTAGGTATTTGAAACCTATTACAAATGATACTTTTGTTTTTGTTTTTGTTTTTCAAACAGAGCTGCACTCTGTCCCTTAGGCTGGATTGCAGTGGCTTGATCACCACACACTGTAGCCTCCACTTCCCAGGCTCAAACAAACCTCCTGGGACTACTACAAGAGCATTCTACCACACCCAGCTATCAAATGATAATTTTTATTCCACTTATATGTTGACCAAATGACCCTGACTCACTGTAGAATTTTTAAATGCTTTCAAATCATTGTTTAGTTGTCTAATCCCCAATTAGTTTACATGCCCCTATGAAGGCAGGAACCATACTTGACCTTTTCAACATTTATTCCATCCCTAAAGCCTAGTGCAGTGCCTGGAACCTATTAGGCACTCAATCAGTATTTCCTGAATTAATGATGAATTTTTAAAATAAACAGCAAAACACTGAAACAGATAGGCTAAATCAATCAGGTAATTCCACACAATGGAATATTATGCAAACATTAAAAATTATGGGATAAATATATACATTTACTTGGTTAAATTAAAAAATGGTGTTATAAAATAATAAAGTGTGATCATACTCTTGTTTTATTTATGTATATGCATAAATAAAAACTCCAGGAAGCTCTAAAGGAAACATGATTGTTCACAGCAGTACACGGAGCTAAATGACAAAAAGACTCGATCAACCCTACTATGTACCCTTTAACACAGTATTTTGAAAAAGAAAGAAAAGACTAGTAGATGTGTGTGTGTAACATGCTTTTGGGCAGAAAATTAATTAGAATTAATTAATTAAAAAAATTAATTCTAATTAACTAGAATTTGCTAACGAATCTAACCAAAAAGTGACTAAAAATAGAAGAACATAACTAAAAAACCCTGAAAGTCACCAATATTTTAAAAATCGTATTTCTAAAGAACTTGTCAGAAATCTGTAACTGCCTAAAATGCCCATCACTTTTCCAAGGTATTTCAAAGGCAGTAAGATATATGAAAGCACAGTAACTAGAACACTTCCCAGTCCTATTCATTCGTGAACTACTACCGCAAATACTGTTATTAGAATAACAGCAGCAACCAAGCACACACTACTTGAAACTCAGACAAGCTCTTTTAATTACATCAACTCTTTCAGCTTCACAGTAACAATTTGGGGTGTGTTTTATGATCTCCTTTGCATAGAAAAGGAAACTGAGCCTTTTCCTAATTAGTTTCCTAAAGAAGTACCCTGATTAGTTTCCTAAATATTATCATGAAAGTGCTTCAGTATATTAAAATTATTTTATTCTAATACATGTAACCATGACTGAAACTACTAAAATGTAAATTTCAGTATTAAGAAAAGCGTTTCGGCCAGCCACAGCAGCTCACTCCTGTAATCCCAGCACTTTGGGAGGCCAAGGCGGGCGGATCATGAGGTCAAGAGATCAAGACTATCCTGGCCAACATGGTGCAACCCAGTCTCTACTAAAAATACAAAAATTAGCTGGGCATGGTGGCGCAAGCCTGTAGTTCAAGCTACTCAGGAGGCTGAGGGAGAATTGCCTGAACCCGGGAGGTGGAGGTTGCAGTGAGCCGAGATTGAGCCACTGCACTCCATTCTGGTGACAGAGCAAGACTGTGTCTCAAAAAAAAAAAAAAAAGAAAGAAAAATGAAAAAAAAAACCAGAAAAGAGTTCCACTGACACCTGATCTGTTTTCTCTGGATGCTATAAAGCTAAGAATTCAAAACAAGCCAAGCAAGGATTTACAAGTTAAAGAAAAAGGTGGACACAAAATTCAAACTTAAAAATTAGGCAAGGTGCAGTGGCTCACACCTGTAATCCTAGCACTTTGGGAGGCCGAGGCGGGGGTGGATCACCTGAGGTCAGAAGTTCAAGACCAGGCTGGCCAATGTGGTGAAACCCCATCTCTACTAAAAATACAAAAATTAGCTGGGTGTGGTGGCGGGCACCTGTAATACCAGCTACTCAGGAGGCTGAGGCCTGAGGATCACTTAAACCCAGGGGGTGGAGGTTGCAATGAGCTGAGATCGTGCCACTTCACTCCAGCGTGGGCAACAAAGTAAGACTCCATGTCAAAAACAAAACAAAACAACAATAATAAAAAACTTGAAAATCAAAAGATAAAGCTTTGTATCTGTTTCAGTAAACATCTTTTTTAAATGTTAAAAATCAAAGTGATACATGGGGAGGGGGGACGGGGGAGGGACTGCATTGGGAGTTATACCTGATGTAAATGACGAGTTGATGGGTGCAGCACAGCAACATGGCACAAGTATACATATGTAACAAACCTGCACGTTATGCACATGTACCCTACAACTTAAAGTATAATAATAATAAATAAATTAAAAAAAAAAAATCAAAGTGATAAAAATCACAATTTGTGTTTTTTTAAAATTAGGAAAATTATTAAAAATAAAATGAATATACATACCACAATTTTAAGAGGTCCATATTTTTTCTCCTGAGCAGCAAGCGCATTCTTAAAAGGAGTAGGAGTTCTTGGTGTGGTACCCAATATAGATCTTCTAATAGTAGGTGTTCTGAAACTATCCAATCATTTAGATATTTATGTTATAGTCACAATCTGATTGCATACGAGTTAATGAAAGCAAAGCAATTTAAGCACACACTAAATTTTCTCTCTCACACACACACACATATATATATATATGCTTCATCTAAACATTCTAAGACTATTTTACAGTATGCCTGCCTATGGTAATTCTGATTTCAATCACTCATCTTAAAATAGAAAAAAAGAATTAATACAGAAAAAAGTACTAGAAATGCTTTCATTGAAATCAAAGATACTATATTTAAGTTGGTTTTGACTGTCCTAAGGAGAAAACATAAGGCTATGATTTAAAAAAAAAAATTCTGGCCCAGCCCAGTGGCTCACGCCTGTAATCCCAGCACTTTGGGAGGCTGAGATGGGCAGATCACCTGAGGTCAGAAGTCCAAGACCAGCCTGGCCAACACAGTAAAATGCCATCTCTACTACACATACAATATTAACCAGGTATGGTGGCACATGCCTGTAATCCCAGCTACTCAGGAGCCTGAGGCAGGAGAATCACTTGAACGCGGGAGGTGGAGGTTGCAGTGAGCCGAGATCTCACCATTGCACTCCAGCCTGGGCAACAAGAGTGAAATTCCATTTCAAAAAAAAAAAAAAAATTCTAAGTCCTGTAGGAATAGGGATTATGATACATGCTATTTATATGCACAAAAAGCTACTCTACTCTTGATATTGTGCTCCCCATTTTCTCTAACACAATTATTTAATACCTACTTACCCTACATTTTCCTTTTGATCTTTGGGAGTTGTTTCCTTATGAAGAGGAGTTGTAATGAGAACTTTCTGCCCACAAATAGGGGTTGATGTAAATGAAGGATTTTCTATATTAAGTTGTTCATTTCCAGGACATGTGTTGAAAAACTAAAAATGGAAGAGAGTTTACAGATGATTTCTAGAACATCAAAATCCCTACACAAATATTAAACTAAGATTTTCAAATTATTTCTTCATACCTCTTTTAAAAAGCTTATGAATAATATTACACTTATACTCCATGGAAATTATGCTCCATGAGGGTAGGAATTTTTGTCTGGTTTGTTCATTTTTGTCTCCCCAGCTCTTAGAACAGTGTTTAGCACATATAGGAATTCAAGAAACATTTAACAAATATTCAAAAGTTACAAAAAAAATACTAAAAATTGTAAAAAGTGTATTATCAAATAGAGATCCATAGAAACTATAAACAGTTGTCGTGTTAAATCTAACAGTTTTATACAACAGTGTGTAACTGAAAAAAACAAGTTTTTTTTAGCTCTTATTAATAAATGACCTTAAGTGGCTTTTTCTATGAGAGTATTTTAATTTAGAATATAATTACGCTTTGCTGATGAGAAATACAGCTGTCTGGCAAATTTGCCTATCTAGAACACAGAACCTCTAAGAAGTCAAAATTGGTATCACAGAGTCCATCTTCTAAATTATATAATTTACAACTGTGAAATACTAATTATATTCACAATACAATTGTGAAATACTAATTTATTTTTGTAGTCAAAAATTAGAAACAGTGGTATGAAGCCATAGAAATGGCTTCAAAGCTCCTTATAACTAGAATGAAGTCTAGCTCTATCACTTCTGGCTCTGAATACTTGAATTTATTTTACCCTAAGATTAGTAATCAAACCCTCTTTTACAGGATAAAATCCAAGCAGTTTGCCATGGCAAACAAGCATCTTTCAGCCACTTCTACCTTAGAATTCACACTTCAATAAAAATTGCTAGTGTGCAAAACTCCAGAATAGAAAACTGCTAGTGTGCCCAAGCCTACTTCACTTTCCCCAGTGCTTTTTAACTCTGAGAGCAGGTCTGGGGGTGAACAGACTATTCACATTGTAGTCTATACAAATGGCATTCCCTGAAGCATGGGTGCACAATTTTTAGAGATCTATGTTCTGCCAGATCCTACTTATCTCCCTAGCCTCAAAATATACCTCCAATAATATCCCAGCATTCTCCATGTTTATTTGACCATTAAACCCCCTTCTTCCCCCTTAAACTTTGTAGCCTCTGCCAAACACTTTCAGAAAACATCAGCTCCATCTCTTACTAACTGTTGCCTTTTACAAGTGGCTCAACTTCAGAATTTTATTCCACCTAACTCCTTTTGAAAGAGCATCAACTGAGATGCTATAAGAAAAATGTTTGGAGGCCGGGCCGGTGGCTCACGCCTGTAATCCCAGCACTTTGGGAGGCGGATGTGGGCAGATCACCTAAGGTTGGGAGTTCGAGACCAGCCTGACCAACATGGAGAAACCCGTCTCTAATAAAAATACAAAATTAGCCAGGCATGGTGGCGCATGCCTGTAATCCCAGCTACTGGGGAGGCTGAGGCGGGAGAATCACCTGAACCCAGGAGGCAGAGGTTGCGGTGAGCCGAGATGGTGCCATTGCACCCCAGCCTGGGCAATAAGAGCGAAACTCCACCTCAAAAAAAAAAAAAAAAAGTTTGGCAAACAGCCTGGAGCATAGCAAGTGTTCAATAGGAAACTGTCCTAACATAAACATCTACTGTCCAGGGGTATTATAAGAGAAGAAAGTAAGTAGGTAGTTCTGGACATCCTTGGGAAACCTCTTGACACATTAAATTCTTACAGTAAGCAATTATCTAAGTTTCTTCCAAAGAACGTTAAAAGGAAACATTCAGCGGGCAAACTAAATAAATTACTTTAAATAGGTAAGGTCACTTTAAACTTTATCAGGTGTATCTATCGCACAGTAGTCAGTCAGGAAACTGGATCTCAGTCTCAGCCTTGCATTAGATAACTTTGGGCAAATCAATTTTACCTTTCCAGGCTTGTTTTATGATGAGTTCTATAAAGATATGGGACTGCAAGATAAAGAAAATGTCTCTCTAAACACTGTAGTATAATATCATGCAGAACCGGGAGCAGTGGCTCACGCCTGTAATCTCAGCACTTTGGGAGCCAAGGCAGGTGGATTACTTGAGTTCAGGAGTTCAACACCAGCCTGGGCAACATGGCGAAACCCCATCTCTACAAAAAATACAAAAATTAGCTAGGTGTGGTGCCACGCATCTATAGTCCAGGCTACTTGGGGGCTGAGGCGGGAAGATCACTTGAGCCTGGGTGGTTGAGGCAGCAGTGTGCCATGTTTGTGCCATTGCACTCCACCCTGGGCAACAAAACAAGACCCTGTCTCCAATATATATATATGCCACTATTACATTTTGTGAGATACTTTCTAATCTCTCAGAGTTCAGTATTCTCAAGTATACATTTAAACACATTATTTTTTTATGTTATCAAAGTTACCAACTGCTAGTAAGGATATTAAAGATCTAATTTAATCTAACTCATTGACATTTAGAAACATAAACAAAATCAACACCGCTACCTGTGAAGGAGAAAATGGTAGTGTTTTCAGTGGTGTATGTTTTAGCGCTGTATTACCACCATCGTTCAATGAGCCATCCCTAAGTTCGCTGCCTGGGGAAAGGCCCACTCGCATTTTTCTCTTCTTTCTGAGGATGGCTGGTGGAGTGCTAAACTTGGCTACATTTGGGGATGTTAAAGGAACAGCTTCACTGTTGCCACCATTACAAGTGTTTTTTTTCCCTTCAAGTACAAGACTGACGTTAAATTGGCATTCCATGGCTCCTTCATTGTGCTGAATTCTCATTAATTTAACTGGGGTGGATTTGATAGGAGAAGCAGCAGCATCAGAAATATCAAAACTGGTAACATCACTCCATGCTACAGGATCCTGCAATAAATTAAACTGTTAATAAAGTTAATGCTATAACCTAGTTAAATCTGATCTTGAACACAGGATGATGATTTCCACAGAGTTAATTAACAACTCATTTTATCAGTGGAAACGCTTTCCTTGGACATTTTTTTTTTAAGCAAGGTCATTTGAGAGGAACAGATTATGGCTTTCCTATGATTCCAGAATACATAATAGTTCATCTAATTCAGTAGTTGAAGCTTACTGTCAAAGTATTTTAAGAAGAACAAATTGCAAGTTATTATCAAAAATTAAGTTATTATCAAAAAGTATAATTCGTTATAAAACTTCACATTCTACTCCACATCAGGAAGACACCATCAAATTCTGCATAATCATTTGGTAATGTGTATGGAACATGTTAAAAATGGTGATACACTTTGATCCAGAAATTCAATTTAACCTAAAGACATAATCATGATTTTGCACAAAGCTTTATATGTTATTCGTAATGCTGAAAAGCTAGACACTACCTAAATGTCCAATAATAATAGTACATTGGGTAAATATATTTTCTTATATTCATCTGATGGAATACTACAAAGCCCCTAAAATTCAAATTTAGGCCAGGCATGGTGGCTCACGACTGTAATCCCAGCACTTTGGGAGGCCGAGGTGGGAGGATCACTTGAGGTCAGGAGTTCGAGACCAGCCTGGCCAACATGAGGAAACTCCATCGCCACTAAAAATATAAAAATTAGCTGGGTATGGTGGCAGGCACCTGTAATCCCGCTACTCAGAAGGCTGAGGTAGGAGAATCGCTTGAACCCAGGAGGCAGAGGTTGCAGTGAACTGAGATTGTGCCACTGTACTCCAGCCTGGGCGACAGAGTGAGACTCCATCTTAACAACAACAACAAAAAATTCAAGTTTAAAAAAGTTAAAGAAACAGAAACATGCTCATGTCAGGGTGGGAAAAAAAATCCACAAATGTAATACAGAAGTGTATTTTTGGGTTTAAAAATATAATGCGTTTTCTAAGTATAGAACACAGACTGAAAGGAAAATATCAAATTATTAACTCTGGGTTTATGAAACATTTTAATTTTCTTTTTTACAGTTTTCTCTAGTTTCCAGCTTTCTCTAATGCACCTGTATAACTTATATAACAAAAAATGAATTAAGTTTTTAATTTTTAAAAATTCCTCAAAAGGCACATATTTGAGAAAATTTTAAACTTTTTTCCCCTAGAAGCCACTGCAAAATACCAGAACAAAATTAAGTATGGCATACAAAACATAAAACTGGTCAATGTCCAAAACTCAGTTTCTGAGCATGAAATCATGTAACTAAAATTGAACTTTTGATAATCTTACAATTTTTTACTTACAGATTCAATAAGTTCTAGAGTCTCTGCAAATTCTGGGATGGTCTGCAAAGAGGACAACACAGCGTTGGCCTCCACGGCCAGGAACTTTGTGGGTGAATTCTGCTGAGCAGACACAGGCTGATTTTCATCCATACTGTAAAACTCACTAGTGTGCTCGTCAAGGCTATTTAGAGTATTAGACATGTTATCATCCATGAGGAAACTACCAGACCAGCTAGAAAAACTTCCAGGCTGCTAAAAGTACAAAAGAAATTTTAATATTATTTGTCATTCTCAATGTAGGCATAAATTCAGATTTCAACACATTTCAATTAGGCTAAAAATATAGTAGCAAATATTTTGTCTTTCCTCAAATTGGTATACTTCTTTTCATTAAACTACATGCTTTGACTATGTTTTTTTCTAATTAAAATTTTTAATCTATACAATCATGATGAGATAAAACAAGCATTGACATACAACATAAAGTCCAAACTCTTAGAATTTGGCTACTCCCTTCCTTCCAAACTTAATTTCTCAACACTTCTACTCAAGAGCTATATATTTAAATCTTACCAGGTATATCTATTTATTCCTGGTAGTTATCAGGAATACCCAACTATAGCACTTGCAATTCTCCCAATGAATTATACTATTTTGACCTTGAGTGCCTTTGCACATATTGCTGCTCCCTTTATCTATTAATAAAATGCTCTGTAACCTACTGACCAGGGAAGCCATTCTTTTTTTTTTCCTGAGGTGGGAGTTTTCACTCAGTTGTCCAGGCTGGGGTACAGCGGTGCGATCTCGGCTCACTGCAACCTCCACCTCCTGGGTTCAAGCAATTCTCCTGCCTCAGCCTCCTGGGTAGCTGGGATTACAGGCACCCACCACCACACTCAGCTAATTTTTTGTATTTTTAGTAGAGACGGGATTTCACCATGTTGGCCAGGCTGGTCTCAAACTCCTGACCTCAGGTGACCTGCCCACCTTGGCCTCCCAAAGGGAAGCTATTCTTACCACACAGTTCAAATACTGGAAAGTACTTCATCTGATTGTACACTTTTATCTGCTTCATTTATAATAATGTTCTAATTCATTTATCTTGCTAACATGTAATCATTGTCCTTCAAGGCTGAGTTCAATTAGGACTTCTTCCAGGAACCTTTCCCTGGTGACAACAATCTAAATCAAGCACCTCTCCTATATGTTACCATAAACTTTGTGACTCACAAATTGTCAAAAGTCAAAGAGAGAATTCTAAAAATAGCACGAGAGACCAGGTACGGTGGCTCATGCCTATAGTCCCAGCACTTTGGGAGGTCGAGGCAGGCAGATTGCTTGAGCCCAGGAGTTTGAGAACAGTTTGGCCAACATAACGAAACTCCATTTCTACAAAAAATACAAAAATTAGCTGGGCATGGTACCACGCGCCTGTAGTCCCAGAACTCAAAAGGCTGAGGTGAGGGCATCACTTGAACCCAAGAAGTCAAGGCTGCAGCAAACTGTGATCACACCACCGCACTCCAGCCTGGGTGAGAGGGAGACCCTTATCAAAAGAAAATTAAAAATAAAAATTGCAAAGTAAAAGTATTACATCACACATAAGGAAATCCTTATTAGATAACAGCAGATTTATCTGAAAAAACCTTACAGGCCAGAAGAGAATGAAATGATATATTTGAGAAGTACTGGAAAAAAAAAAAAAAAAAAAAATGCCTGCCAAGAATACCCAGCAAAGCTATCCTTCAGAAATGAGGGAGAAATAAAAGTCTTTCCCAGACTTTTTCTTTTTAAATGGTGGCAATTCATCACCACTAGATCAGCCTTACAAGAAGTGCTCAAAAAAGTCCTGTATCTGAAAGCAAAAAGATAACAAACACTATTATGAAAATATGTAAACGAATAAAATTCACTAGTAGAGCAGGTACACAAAGGAGAAAGATAAAATAATCAAACCGCTGTACTACAGAAAATCACCAAACTGCAACAATAAACATTAAGGAAGGAAGAAAGAAACAAAGAATATACAAAACCAGAAAATAATTAACAAAATGAAAAGAGTTAAGTCTTCACATATCAGTAATAACCTTGAATGTAAACAGATTAAATTCCACACTTAAAAGACATAGACTAGCTGAATGGATTAAAAAACACATGACCCAACTATATGCTGCCTATAAAAACTCATGTCACCTATAAAGACACATATGGACCAAATGTAAAAGGATGGAAAAAGATATTCTATGCAAACAGAAACTAAAAGCAAGCAGGAATAGCTATACTCATTATCAGATAAAGCATAATTTAAGTTAAAAACTATAAAAAGAAACTGGGCATGGTAGCACATGCCTGCAACCACAGCACTTTGGGAGGCCAAGTCGGGCTCAGGAGTTCGAAATCAGCCTCGGCAACATAGCAAAACCCCATCTCCACAAAAGTAAATAAATAAATAAATAAAAATAATAATTAGCTGGACATGGCAGCACACGCCTGTGGTCCCCACTACTTAGGAGGCTGAGGTGGGAGGATCACCTTAGCCTGGGAAGTTGAGGTTGCAGTGAGCCGAGATCACAGCACTGTATTTCAGCCTGGGGGACGGAGTGAAACCCTGCCTCAAAAAAACAAAACAAAACAAAACAAACAAAAAAGAACACCCTATAAAAAAAGACAAAGAAGGTCAATATATAATGATAAAGAGATCAATTCAGCAAGAGAATATAATTGCAAATATATATACACCAATATCAGAGTGCCTAGCTACATCAAGCAAATATTATTTGATCTAAAAGGAGTAATAGACTCCAATACAAAATAGTTGGAGCCTTCAACACCCCACTCTCAGCAATGAAAGATCATCTAGACAGAAAAATCAACAAAGAAACAAACATTGGCTTTAAATTGAACATTTATACCGAATGAACCTAACAGCCATCTACAGAGTATTTCATGCAATATCTGCAGAATATACATTCTTTTCATCAGCACATTCTCCAGGACAGACCACACATTAGGCCACAAAATAAGTCTGAACAAATTTAAAAGAATTAAAGTCACATCAAGTGTCTTTTTTGACCACAGTGAAATAAAACTAGAAATCAATAACAAAAGGAACTTTTGAAATTGTAAACAGAAATTAAACAACATGCTCCTGAACAACCAATAGGTCAATGAAGAAACTAAGAAGGAAACCAAAACATTTCTGGAAACAAATGAAAGTAGAAACACAACATACCAACACCTACGGGATATAGCAAAAGCAGTATCAAAAGGGAAGTTTGTAGCAATAAATGCATACATCAAAAAAGTAGAAACATTTCAAATAAACAATGTAGCTAGAAAAATAAGAACAAACCAAACCCAAAGCTAGTAGAGGAAAATCAAAAGCAGAAATAAACAAAATTGAGACAAACAAATACTATGAAAGGAGAAGTTGGCTTTTTAAAGAAATAAACAAAATTGACAAACTGCTGGCCAGACTAACCAAGAAAAAAAAGACCCAAATAAATAAAATCAAAAACAAAAAAGGAGACACTACAACTGATACCACAGGCATACAAATGATCATTAGAGGCTATTATGAATAACTATGCATCCAATTAGAAAACTTAGCAGAAATGGATAAACTTCTGGACAGATATAACCTATCAAGATTGAACCAAGAAGAAACAGAAAACCTGAACAGACCAATTACAAGTAGCAAGATTGAATCTATAATAAAACGTCTCCTGTAAAAGTAAAGCCCAGGACCCAATTCATTGCAGAATTCTATCAAACATACAAAGAAGAACTATCAATTCTTTTCAAATTCTCTCAGAAAACTGAAGAGTAAGGAACGTTTCTAAACTCATTCTACAAGGTCAGCATTACCCTGATACCAAAACCAAATAAAAAAACTGTAAGCCAATATCCCTGATGAACATAGATGCAAAAAGACATTCACCAAGATCAGACAGAATTTATCCCAGGGATGTAAGGATGATTCAACCTACATAAATCAATAAATAAAATCAAATATCAATAGAATAAAGATTATCTTAATAGACATGAAAAATCATTTGATAAAATTCAACACCCCTTCATGATAAAAACTCTCGACAAGTTAACTGTAGAAAAAACATACCTCAACACAATAAAGGCCATATATGACAAAACCACAGCCAACATCATACTGAACAAGGAAAAGCTGAAAGCTTTTTCTCTAAGATCTCAAATGAGACAAGGATGCCCATTTTTACCACTTTTATTCAACTCAGTACTGGAAGTCCTAGCCAAAGCAATTAGGCAAGAGAAAAAAAAAAGGCATCCAAAATGGAAAAAAGGAAGTCAAGCTGTCCCCATTTGCAGACAACATGAACTTACATATAGAACACCCTATAACAACCTTACATAAAGTTCCTCAAAAAAAACTCTTAGAACTGATAAACAAATTGGGTAATGTTGCAGGATAAAACATCAACACAAAAAAAATCAGTTGTATTTTGGCTGGGCATGGTGGTTCACACCTGTAATACCAGCACTTTGGAAGGACAAGGCAGGAGGATCATTTGAGGTCAGGAGTTCAAGACCAGCCTGGGCAACATAGCAAGACCCCCATCTCTAAAACTAAAAAATAAATCAGTATTGTTTCTATACACCAACAACAAACTAGCACAAAAAGAAATCAAGAAAGCAGTGCCATTTACAATAGCTACAAAAAAATAATAATAATACGTAGGATAAATTAAACCAAGAAGGTAAAAGATTCCTGCAAGAAAAACTACAAAACACTGATAAAAGAAATTTAAGAGGACATGAAAAAATACAAAGATCTCCCATATTCAAGAATTAGAATAATAAATATTGTGAAAATGACCATATTACCAAAAGTAATCTACAGTTCAGTGCAATCTTTATTAAAATACCAATGACATTCTTCCCCAAAGTAGCAAAAACAATGCTAAAATTCATTTAAAAAACTACAAATAGTTAAAGTAATCCTGAGCAAAAAAACAAACAAGCAAAAACAAAAACAAAGCTGGAGGCATCACACTAACAGGCTTCCAAATATTCTATATAGAGCTGTAGTAACCAAAACAGCATGGCACTGGGACAGAATACAGAACACAGAAATAAATACACGCATTTACAGCCTTTCAACAAAGGCACTAAGAACACTCATTGAAGAAGAGACAGTCTCTTCAATAAATAATGCTGGGAAAACTGGATATCCATATGCAGAAAAATGAAACTAGCTCCCTATCTCTCACCATATT